AGACGTTTGAAAGAAATAACAGCTAATTAAATATTTGATTATTCTGAGTGCATCTTTATTGGATGATACGTGGCGGAAAAATAGCTTTTGTTACAAGCTAATGACCGCAGCTACACAATCTTGGACCTTACGAAAAGACATCCAGCTGGATGTTAACCACTAAAATGGCTGGTGTATGTTGAAACCCTATATTAAATTTTGTGCCTATGCTCAGTTTCTTTCAACAAACATTCCGCTTGCCCATAAAATCCCATTTGTTCTATCAGTGATTCTTAAATTTTCCGGTTGTGTTAGGTTTCAAATGTAGCGAAGATCAGTTTACCTGTAAGAACGGCGAATGTGTCAAGAGGAATTTGTTGTGTGATGGCGACTTTGCCTGCAAGGATCATTCAGATGAAGAGAATTGTGAGTGTCCTTCCAGTAAGTTCTCCTGTAAAGGAGGAGGATGTCTCCTAACAACGGCAGTGTGTAACGATTACGAGGACTGTTCTAGCGGAGATGATGAAAGCAACTGTCGTGAGTAAGCTGTTTGTATTTAGTCAAATGATCATGAAGCAGATGATATCCCTATGGTCTAGTAAATGCAGACTGCTAAGGACCCTAGACAATTAATGAAACAGCAGTTACCCAAACTATTACGCTAAAGCGGGTCAATTGGACAGTTGGTACCCAATGAAATAGCAATTTTCCAGATTCTCGTCGCTTAGAAGTTACTACTGAAAATGCACTGATGATAATTTTTTTTGGCAGAAAATCCATGTCCCTCCAGTCATCAGTGCCTTGATGGATCGTGCATTCCCTGGTCAGACACTTGTAGTGAAACACCCTTCTGCAGGGATGGAACTAACGCACCATCTATATGCGGTAAGCAAGATCATGGTTTGAAGCAAGCATAAAAAAACGGTTAGCAATTGGGTAACCATGTCTGCTGGAAAAAGTGAGGGTCTGCATGTTGTTTTCTTGTTTTGAAGAGAATGAAAAATCGTATTAGGAGGTTCACTGCATGTTTTGCAGGATCTCCCAGATCTAGATTCCCCAGGGGTTTCCCATATCAGAAGAGATTTATAGGTAATTTCAGATAGATTTCCTTATGAAGAGAGCCAATCACAAGTGGTGATCATCTGAATTGTGTAATTGAGTTAAACAAAAGTTTGCAAGTCAGACTTTTACGTAGTTGTGCTTTTCACGTGGCGTTTCATCTTTCTGGTTTCCAGTATCTGCCAGGTGCAAACTTAATGATTTGGCATGTACCTCCGAAACTTCCACTGGACAAAAGAGATGCAGATCTTTCAGAGGTAGAACGATTTCAGTGTTTCTTCTATATCAACTTTGTTTTGGTTAATTTGTAGGCCTAATCAGCTATTCTAATCAGACGACTCTTTTTCTTACTAACTCGCAGAAGAATCACTAAAAACAATTGCTTTTTAAGCGAAGCAAATGGTCCAAACATGCACATGGTGTTCTTGAAAGTGGAAATCAGTAAATTTAATTGTTCCTCAATGGAACATTCAATTTATTCGCCAGAGTAAAATTATCTTAATAACTTGTTTATTTCATTTTTCCATTCTCCTGAATCACCTGGCATTTCTTTAGCTATGATAATTTTTCTTTGATTGTGTTTAGTTGCCTGTTTGTTTTCTTTCCTGTTTTTGAGTGGATAAGTTTCTATTGGTCCTTCCAGGTAACTGTAACTTTCAAACGAGCCGCTGTGGACTGAAGCCCGACAAGAATGCCACTTTCCAATGGACCGTGGGCTCACATCAGACGCTAACAGAAGGAAGTGGGCCGAGTTACGATCACACTTCGTTCAGCAAGGATGGTAAGGCAGCCTTTGCGCAGAAATCACTTCAGTGAGGAAAGAACCAACAATGGCTCCAAATGAATTCAATTCTGTCAAAAAATGAATAAAGATTATGACTAAACAAAGCAATTTTAAAGTAATCTAGGACTACAATGCTTTTGCTGATATCACTCTGAGACTGGTCTCGAAAACTCGTGCCACCCTATTAACTAAAGAGTTGCTAACTGAAAAACACACACGATTTGGTTAGCTGTGCGTAAGGGAGCTTGCTTGTCTCACCTCGATTTCACATTAGAACTTAAGGGTATTTTCTTTTGCTTTAATTGGCTGCTGAAATCCCCTTCGGTTTGATTTAACGACACTTAATTGGAGAGCGCTCTAAAACCCAGCCATTTCGTTCATTAGGGTCAGAATTTGGATCACGAAATGGGCAAAAAAAAAATAGACGCGCGATGTCTTTTTGCAGGTTCTTATATCTATATTGAAGCTTCTCAAAGAAACTCTGGAGACGAGGCGAGATTGCTAAGCGACTGGATGGAACCTAATGAGTCAGTCTGCGTTAAGTTCTGGTATCACATGCACGGATCGGACATCGGTAATCTAAGTATTTACCTCAAAACTAACCAATCAGAAACCCTTGTTTGGATGGTGTCGGGAGATCAAGGAAACCATTGGCTATATGGTCAGACGGCTTTGAATAGCACCCTTTGGTATAAAGTAAGTATCCAATTCTCTAATAATTGTGCGACGAATAGGCTGGAATCTATGCAATTTATTTACACGATTCAGTCATACAAGAAGACGATAATATCATCAAAAAATGCGTAATCCATAGTGCACTCTCCTTTAGGAGCTGCTGGCCGGAAAAAAGTCTCGCTCTTTCATTTATTTATTTTTTCATAGTAACTTCCATTTAGTGACAAAGAATAATGATAAAAAGAGTAAAACAAAAAACGAAAAAGGTACTAAATGAGGGACTAACGTACGGACTCGAAATCCCAGCGAGGTCAGCCCCCCTAAGTATATACTAAACTAAAACATGTGTAAAAAAAAAACAATAATCAACAACAGCTCTTTCTATCAATTGAGCGACAATGTGGGCAGACTGTTTTCAATGTTTGAATTCTAGATGTGTCAAAATTACCGATAAATTTGTTAAAGAAATAGTTAAATAGACGGTCTTTAGATGTAGAAAGAGCTATAGTTTCACGAATATCTAACGGAATATTGTTCCATAAGGAAACAATGCGATTAAAAAATGAATCACGAAATAAGGAAGTACGAACACGATTTGGTCACAAATTAAAGTTGTTGGCATTCGTAGTACGGCCGGTGATCAAGTTGATATATTCATTGACATTAATATTATGATACTTATGCATACACTTATAGAAGAAGCAGATGTCTCGAAGTTCGTGCCAATAACATAATGGTAACAGTTTTAGCATTTTTAAGCGGGACTTATAGTCAGGTCTTTCCGATACCTTATTACTACAGTTCAAAATGAAACGAGTTGCCCGACATAGA